AAAGCCTTTGCGTAGTCAATAAAGCACAGGGAAACATCCTTCTGATATTCTCTGCTTTCAGCCAAGATCCATTGGACATCAGAAATGATATCTCTCGTTCCACAGCCTCTTCTGAATCTGGCTTGAACCTCTGGAAGTTCTCTGTCAATGTATGATTGTAGCCGTTGCTGTTAGTAGGAATGAAACCTTGGAAGCCCCACAGGTGTTCCACAGCCAGGGAGCCACTTACATGTGAAGTACCTTCATACAGGGGAATACTACACAGGCATGAAAAAGGATGAGGGTGTTCTTCATGTTCTGGTGTGGCAAGCACTCTCGGATAGATCATTGTTAGGTGCCATTGAGTTGGTTCCAGCTCACAGCGACCCTGTGCACAAGAGAATGAAACACTGTCGGGTCCTGCACCAGGGTTCCCTTGAGTCCCATCAAAACCAGCAGCCTCGGTGTAGAAGATGCTAGAAAAGGACAATGTGGCAAGTCACTTCCAGTCAGTCTCCGGTCCTCTTCTCCATAGATTCCCTGGATCTTGTGACTCTTTCCAGAAACATCCTGAGTCCCCACAGCCATCGATGATATGTTGTCTACATTTCTGTTTTACAAAGATGGTAGTAGTCTGCTGTATACCCTTTGCTACACATGGAGTCATTCCACTAAATGATATTACTAGAAATCACTCCCGATCAGTCTATACACAGTCACCCCGTCCTTTGTCATGGCTGTGTACTAGTCCACCAGGTAAATTTTGTTTGCTTCCCTGATAGGCATTCAAGGCATTCCAGCCTTTACCTCCCACCAAAAACGCCTGCAGCAGAAATCCTTACATAGATTTTTTTTTTTTAAGTTAAAATTGTATCTATCAAAACATCTTCCATTTCAACAATTTTGACGTACATTTCAGTGATAATGACTATGCTCATCATTCCTTTTGCTTATTTCTTCATGGACATGTGGAAAAAGATCTGGCAGCTGGATTCTTCTTGCAGCATAAGTGTTATAAACCCTTTTGGAAATGTATAACTTTATATGATGGAAAATTGCCAGTACATAAAAAATTAGAAAGAAATGTCCAGGAGATATTTGGCATCAGCAGGTCATCAACATTTATATAATCTTGAATCGTGTAGTTTCTCACCCAATCCAAACTTGTTGCCTTTGAGTTGGTTCTGACTCATAGTGACCCTACATGACTGTGTAGAACTTCCCCATGGGGTTTCCAAATCTGGCCGACTGATTGAAAGAGATCAATATTTATGCCCATTCCAAAGAGAGGTGACCCAATAGAATGCAGAAATCATCGGACAATCTCTTTGATATCTCAAGCGAGTAAAGTTTTGCTAAAGGTAATACAGAAACGGCTACAATCAT